GAACCTGATCGGTCTTATCGCAATAAAAGCTTATTATTTTGTTTATTTTAGATGCGCCTTTTCAGAATTTGTGCCCTTTCGACTTCTCTGTCAATTACTGTTTGTTTTTTTATTATAAACAGACAAGGGCTTTCTGAGAAGAAACTCATCTTTGAACAAATTTATCAGTATAGTTTTTAGACATGAAAAAGTTCTGATGGGAACCCTCCAATGATGGTGGAGGAATTAGTTTTAGAAGAGTGAAAATAATGGATCTTTCGATCCCATCGTCCCGACTTCGTTCTTCTTGTTCATTAAACTCTAAAGTAGGAATTTTTTTGCTTGTTGACTCCAAAAAAGAATTTGTTCGGGTTCAAAGGCGAAGAATTATTCTTATCACATATTTGAGTGAGGCTCTTTAATTGACAAAGAGTCTCTTTCAGCATGCCACTAGTTTTTGCCAGTTCTAGTAGTCTTTGCAGGCATATTAGTCAAAGACTTTTCGTGGGTTTGGTTCATCTGTAGCTCAAGTTCATGGGGCAGACGAATTGATGGCGAGGAAGTTCTCGATTCTTTCATGTTCTTCTAGTTGGTAGCTTTTCGTGAAGATTTTTGAACGAGCTTCTATTATTGGAGGACATGTAAGAGTTCTCTGAAATCTTGGAAGAGTTAGAAATGCGTACTTTGTACTTTACTTTTCACTTTGAGAAATTTACAAGGAATGATTACATAGTGTACCAAAATTGATGATGGATGAGTTGACGCTACTCCTAGTTTGTATTATGTTTCATCCCTTTTTTTTCTCTGAATCATTTTTAGATACGCTCTTGCCGTATTTTTATTTATTTTTGATAATTTATCGCTCGTTCAATACTGATATGCATTTTTTTCAGAGTGAGAATAAATTTATTCATGAAGTATTGTCGCAAAAAATTAATAAAGGATAAAAGTGATTACTTCGTTGTGACGCATCAAATATCTTTTAAGAAGAAAAAAGTCACTTGCCGGTTAAGACTATCCTTTAACTCGAGAAGTTCCATGACCCTTCTGCAGGTCTTACGTTTTTGTGGGCTTTTAGCTACTACTACAAGGTTGCTAAGGATCCCCGTTCTTCTCGAGATAGTAGTCATTATTCTTATATTAGCATCATCCTATCCAATTGTTAGGAGTTTTAGGAGTTGTCTATAACTCTTTCCATTGATCAACATAGTGTTCTTAACTATTAAACTTATTTAGTTTAGCTTGAAATACTTATCTTATGAATGAGTGCTATAATGATATTTTGTTTTATAAAAAATTTTCAAATAATCTCTGCTCCATGTTATGGGAACTTTCTTGCTTTAACGGGTGATGAGTTTGTAGGCTCCGGGCTCGACTTGCTCTTTTATTATGTAAGGCCCAGACCACGTTGGCTCGAGCTTTTTCAGAGCCCAATTGTGGGTTGTGGCATCTACCTTCTTCAATACCAGGTCTCCTGGTTTGAATCGTCGTTCTTTGATTTTTGAGTTATAATACTTTGTCATTTTACTCTTGGCTAAACACATCGTATTCAAAAGGAATGATTGTTCAATACCATGGGAATGGGCGAAAGGGGTTTGGCCAGTAGAGGTCGAAAACGTTGTGTGAAGTGCTAATAAAATTGATGAAAGCACTTCAGCCCACTCACCTTTAGCTCCTAGCTTCTTATTGAGTAGATTTAGAATAAGCTTGTTTGCTACCTTTATCTGACAATTACTCTTGCAATGATGGATGAAAGTAAACTTCAATCATATCTCTTAGTTATTACATATTTCTTTCATTTTTTTTTGTTGACAAATTGGGTGTCAATTTCGGTGACAATGATCATGAACATGTCATGTCTGCAAATCATATCAGTTTATACGAAAATGCGAACGACATTGATCGTAATTTTGGCCATGGGTTTAGCCTCAATTCATTTGGAGAAATAGTCAATCATGTCGATGATATATTTTTTCCCTTCTGTTGGGGAAGAGGTCCCAGAAGATACATTCCCCATACTGCAAAAGGCAAGGGACCGTTTTTCAATTGCAATTTATGTGATGGTTGAAGTTGTGTCAAGGCAAGGCGAAATTCTGACAGTGTTTACTTTTTTTAGAGAATTCTTCGACATCCTTTTGGAGAGTAGGACAGAAATATCCTTGATGATTCTGTTAGCTAAAGTTTTTCTGTCGAAATGGCTTTCGCATTCTTTGGAGTTGACATCATGTAGAATCTTTTCATTCTCATCTTCCCTAACACATTTCAGAGAAGTGGAAGCAACATACCTTCGGAATAGTTCTCCGACACAGATCAAATAATTTGTTGCTTTGATCTTAAGCCTTCGAACATCTTTAACATTTTTCAGAGTTATGTTTGTCGATAGATATTGCATTGTGGTTGATCCAGCTATCAGCCGACTTTGTATGCAGGTTTGCGATTTCAACTTCTTCAATGGTAGGTCGATCCGCGAACACAGACCATCGACTGCCAATGTCTTCTCCTTTAGATAATAGGTCGTTGGATTGTTTTTTTTTTTTTTTTAGCTTGTTATATTTTTTTTGGGAGAGCTTAGCTGGATATATTTGATTTGGAAGTGCTCGAGTTGGTTGATCACTCATTTTAAACAGTTCATTGATTTGGTTGATCACAAGCTGAGTATCAGTTCCGACAAGAAGATATGCTATTGAGATTCCTAGTTAGAACCTTAAAATAGCAAAAAGTGCCTCGTCTTTCGCTTGATTGGGTAACATCAAAATCGAGCTGGGTTGAGTGACTTAGGATGTATCCGAAAGTACCACATAATCATACTTGTCACTTTTTGTGACTTCCCTGAGACTCTGTCTACATAAAGTGTCTGGAGTCTGTCCTTTCCATGTCAACCCTTTCATTGGTTAGCCCTTTAGAGAAATCAACCATAAACGATTTGGGACTTGATTGCTTTCCTGGGTGTGTATAACATATCAAACTCACTCAGATCCTTGGGCTTCGACAATCGAGGCCTAGTGCGTGAATTGTATTGTTCGACGAAGATGTGGCAATTTGCGACCTCCAGTAGTTTTGCCAACGTCTTTGGCTTCTGCAAGCTAAGCGCATATCAAAACGGTCATTCTTGGAGTTCTTGGGTCAAAGCTATGTAAGTGACGACGAGTTCAAAATCCTGGACATCCAGCATTTCTCGTTTGAAGACAGTGTTGAAGACTCTGAGGTTCCCAATGGGTTCCTGACGGATCTTCAAGAGCACTTGAGAGTTCTCTGGTGGCTTTTGCATGCCAACAAACTAGGCCTCAAACATTTGTTTTAACTCTCTGAAGAAGGTGATAACTCATACCAACAGGTTGTTGAACCAATGTAGAGCTGATTCCTTTAGCATCATGAAGAATAAATGACATTTCAAAACGTCGTTTAACCAGAGTAGACACACAATTGACTCAAATGAAGCGAGGTTGTTAGTGGGATCAAATTTTCTTCTTTAAGATTCCAAAGAAGAAATTTTAAACTTCCTCAGGTGCCTTGGGTTTTGCAATATTCCTTAAAAATGCACTCCCCTCTAACCTCTCCTTCCTCTCCTGGCATCGTCATCTTAGTAGTTGGGAGAGAGTATTCTTCTTCTTCTTCCTTCAGCCGAGGCTACAACATATCCCTCTTTTAAATGATTGAGATCTTCCAAACGTAACTTTAATCGTTCGAAGATTGGGCCAAGATTTCTTGGTCCGACTCTGGTAAATTTCCCCTAGCTAGTTCTAGCCTTGGTGGCTCCAGTCTCACTGGCTCTTGCCTTGGTGGATTTTGCTTGCGAGCCAATTATCCTGACGGTCCAATGCATGTTCTCTATTTAGCTCGAGTACGAGATTTGGATGCTTGTCTTAACTTTTGCACAACATTCATCATCTACTCTTTCAGCTCCTTGATCTATTGAAGCGCAAATTTCCTGGTGAAATCTATCGTTTTTCTTAATCTTGCTCTAGGTGAACAGGTTCTTCTTGTAGATTTTTTGTATGAACTCCACGTTTATCGCATCTTTCTGAATATTGAATTATTTTGAGACGCAAGCCCTTGTATTGTTCGTGAGTACATACAACCCAGTAAAGCTCTTGTATTGTTGAGAGAAAATGAGTGTGTGTGTGTGTGAGAGAGAGAGAGAGAGAGAGAGATGAATACGAGTTATGAGAGAAATCTTTGGGAATGTATTGAGTTCTTATCTCCGATGAGCCGAAAATGTCTGACACATTAGAGTTTTCCTGAATTATAAGATTTTAGAGAGAAAGAGAAGGAGAAAGAGGTAGGAATTCCCCTAGGGAAAAAAATCTTTTCTTGACATCTTTTGACTTCTCATTATGCACAAGAGAGAAAAGTAATTCAATAATAATAGGATACGTTTTTTACTATGCGGTGTTGTGGGTGTCAGACAACACCCAGTCCCTGGTGTCTAGATGAAAATACCTAGCTATAAATTTTGGGCAGTGTTTTTAATGATGGAGTGATAGATGTCTTTACCAGTCATGATGGTCTTCTCTGGTAGTTGCCCTCACACAAGTGGGCTAGATCGTCCTCTCGAGAGGAATGTATACAACCATTTTGACAGATGAACTTGAATCAACCACTTTAGCTCGTGGGCTTGATTCAACCATTTCAGTGGGTTGGCTCGATTTTGTTAATTTCGGTAGGTGGACTCAATTCAGCCAACTTCTTGTTCAAGAAAAAAAGTAAAACAAAATTGTATAACCGAATGTGCGTATACAAATAGGTCATATTTATTTCTTGAAATAAATTTATAACTAATCTAAGTATTCATCCCATAATCCCCAGTCATCAATTTTGTGTAGTTTTTTACATATTTCACTGCAGACATTGGATTTAGCGTTCCTAGCTTACTTTTATGTCTGGGCCATCTTCTTTATCATTTTCATGTCCGCATTTTGCAGTTAGGAGATAATGGATTTAAGCTTTATGCTTTAATTCTAAAAAAATACTCGGGCTGCTGTCTGTTCTCTAATCTCAATGTTCTTGCTCAATATTTGCAGATTCTTGTGTCATGTTTTGTAAAGACTTCACGTTTTGAAGAGTACCTCCGTGTCAAGGTAACATAATTGATTTATTGTGTGCTGAAATGGGCAAAAGCCAAATCCAGAAATTTCTACCTCTCTGTTTTCTTTCCACCACGTTGTTCTTTAACGTAATCATTTGAACAATCATAACCTGCCATATACAAAGTTCTTAGTTATTTTGATGACATATGCATTTTGACTGCCGAGACACCACTCTAAGCTGTTCATATTATCAACAACTGCAATTTTGAAAATTATCACATATGCATTTATGATGATGAAGAAAATTATCACTACATTTGTTCCTTTTTTTCTATTAATTGCTGATTGTAGTTTTTCTTGCGGCGTTTACATACAAAGCACACAAGTCTTATATATTTACATATTTAATTCCTTAATTTTTATATTTACATATACATTGCCCAAATCCTTAACTTCGCATCAAAAATATTATTATTACTAATTTAAAAAAAGTAAAATACACATTTTCTTGCATAGTCTTATGACATCAAAGTGTTATAAAATTTTAGGTGTTAGAGATATGTAAATTGATAAGAATTGTGTAGTATGTATGTAAATTTCTCCCTTTTCTAATAACTATTAGCTAGCACTTCGTTAACCTCCCTCGTTAGGATAGTTGATAGTGTTCACAACAAATAAATATTTAACCCATCTTTAGACTGGAAGGCTCCACCTCCCCACCTTTCCAACTCCGTCGCTACCGGGTTTGGGTTACGATGGGGTTGATTCCATGTTTCGAAACTCAATTTCGATTTCATCTCAAAAGTTTAATTTCAATTTTTTTGTATGGCTTTGCTGGTTTCGACCTGAGTTATAACACAGATGAAGCCTACTATAAGCTCAACCATAAAATTACATTGATATCTAAAGTTTAATTTTACTCATATATTCAATCAATCAACATAGTCCGACCACAATAACTTGTTTCTTCCCGTTGGAAATCCAAACAGGAAGAGGTATTGCAGGATCTACTCAGAGTCGTAAGTCATCACCGAGCCCGCCTCGCAACTCCAGTTCGCACATTTCAAAACATATACGGCGATGCCGTGCCATCGTCGTCGACAACATACCCCTTGCGGAGACCATCTTCACTCGCCCCGGTGCCCCCAACCTCATTTAACAGCACGACTGCTTGGCGGGGTGAAAGATAAGAACACTGAAGTGATTGATAAAGAGAGATAGTGGAACTTTTTGGATTTTAGCACAGTGATTGGAAAAAATATTACATGAGGATGGTGTTATTGTTAGTATTGTTATGTTATTTTGATAAAATAACACATAATACTATTAATAACACTTAAATACTATCATCCGCATATAAAATTATATTAGGACTCCTGATGTAATATTTTCTAGTGTGATTGATGGCCCGAGTTATTTTCAGGGGTTGGTGAAATTGGTGCATTGTAGACTAGACCGTGGCTTGTTTCAATTATTATTATTATTATTATTATTATTTTATATATATCTTTGACCTGTATATAACTTCCTTTTAACTCTGATCAATGAATTTAGTTAATTTCTTCGAGTAGAAATGATTTATCCATCCCGGAAATGGTGTAGTTTGGTAAAGGTAATGTTAGACGGTACTATATGGAAGACTTCCAGATTAATTTGATCAACGGGTGTTGTAAGCCTCGTTGACCCCCTCTCTCTATGTATGTAATGACCCCCTCTCTGTATGTATGTGTGTACCGTGGTCTGTTAGTAGAGCAGCCTCTCTAAAGGTCGTAAGTCCCATCGAGCCATGAGTTTGAATCTCCTCGTGTGTAAGGTGTGGTACTCGAATATTTAGCATGCATAAAGATGGTTGGAGACCATCTAAATCGCCTCATGCCATTCCTTTATTTTTATATTAATTTTGTGGTATAAAATAAAATAAAAGGAAGGATATCGGCAATAAGTTCCACCAAATCAATTAATGAAATATCTAACATATCTGTGCTAAAATCTTCATCTTATATGCAGATATAAAATGGTGGATATTTTACTTGCCACATACGATACGTTGAATGCATTCAAAATAGGGATAATCACATTCGCAGCACTTCAATCTTGGTTATGTATGTAACTGACCCAAACTAGATGTAATTGCATGGATAGCCCTTAAAATATTATTATTTATAAAACTAGCACTCAAGTAATTAACATGGTAATACTTTTTTGTGTTATGTGTGTAATTGACGCTTGAAAATATTGCATGATATTAAATTTTTATACACTATGTTGAGATGTAATGTTGGAAGCTAATATGTATTTGTTGACATATTTTCATATAATATCTCTCAACAATTTTAGATTTAAATATAAATACTAATATTTTAATTAAAACTTACTAGATTTTCAATCTTTTTTAACTAGCAAACTCATTATTTATACATGCTTTCTATCAACGCTCAAAAATGCAACATTTAAGGGAGAGGCAATAAACCATCTCAACATTATTTCACATGATAAGTGGCCATTCATTGTTCTTTGATGTTCTTTACTTTTGACATTTATATCATATAAATTTTTCATATTACATCAAAAATATCATTATTATAACTTTTTAAAAAAAAATGAAATACAATTCTCATGCATAAATAAGTTGAGCTGAACGTGAAAACTGCAATTTAGGTTTTAAATACATAAATACATATGAATTAAGTGACATTTATGCAAAATCTTTCACAAAGAAATTTTGAATGTGTGGATGTGTCTGGGCCGGATGTCCGCAAACAATACGCATGCAATTGATTCAATTTGCGAATGTGTGGATGTGTCTGGGCCGTTATCCGGACGTCCGCAAACAATACGCATGCAATTGATTCAATTT